AAATTGCAGGCAGGAGCCTCTGTCCCACACGAGGAGCTGCCTCTGGCTCCTTGAGCCCACAGCTGACACCCCAGGCAGGGTCCTCCAGGGACAACAGGCTACAATAAACCAGCCCAGTCACTCCTAAAGCCAAAGACTCACCACTTCCCGGTGGCATTTCTTGATGTCCTCATCCTTGAGGGCTTCATTCAGGCGGAGGCTGGAAGGAAAAATAATAATCACCAGGTAAGGAAGAGCCCCGGGTCTCTTGCCTGCTCCCTAAATATGTGAGGCAAGATGAGACAAGGAATCGTGTAAAGGATTGAAGAGAGACCCCAGGAAGCCACATTTTGGGTGTCTCCATGATTTACTGTGGAACTGGAAATTGCTGAGGCTCAGTAATGGCTGCTGAGGGCTGATTCCTGATGGGAGACACGGAGGCACTGGGACAGGGTTGACTGTCCCCAAAACACATCCCAGCTCCAGGAAGGAGACCAGAGCTGCCCCAGCAGCACCCTGGGATAGGTTGTGAGAGGGAAATGGGCAGCTTTGGCTGGGTCATGGCTTCCTGAGGGAAAGCACAAAGAGGAATTTGGGAATGTGCCTGGGCAGAGGATGTACTCGGCTTTGGCCGTGTACGGAGACATCCATCCACATCCATCCCACGGGCAGGTGAAGAGACAAAACACAGAGAGCGCGAAATCCTCTCAGCAACCTCAGCTGTGGGAACAGCATTCCCTTCCCCATATCCCTCTCCCTTCCTTCCCCTGCTTTTGTACCCTCAATATTTGAGGGGGAAAGTGAAGAAGGGTCCCTCTGTGCCCCACCCCGCTGGTGGATGGATTCAGGGGCTCAGAGGCAGCAGGGATGCCACAGCAGGGGGGAAAGAGAAAACATTCAACCACAGCCCTTGGGATGCTGCTCCTCACCTGCCATCGAGGGAATCCAAACTCTTCTGCTTGTGGGACACCTCCAGCTTCTCGCGGCCGTGCCTGGGCTCGGGGCTCTTCAGCGGAGCTGCCTTCTCATGCATCGGCGTGGCACTGCAAGGAGACACCCGTCAGCCCCAGAGGGGAGGGGCAGGAGGGGCCTGGGGCTCTAAATCTATTCCCTTCAATCCCAGCCTGCACAGAAACGTCAGAATCTGCTGCTCAAGGACAGCGAGAATATTTCTATGATTTCCCAAGTCACGTGGAGAGAAAAAAAAAAGGCACTTTTTTGCCAGAAACTCCCCAGTGCTCGCAACCAAGCGGCCAAGGAGCTGCTGTTCCCTCAGATAACTCTGTCCAAAGCACAGCCTCTCCTCCTCAAGGGATGAAGATTGAGCTGGGGACAATCACAGGTCTACAAAACTCCTCAGGGGGATGGATTTCAGCCAGGGTCTGCTCCTCCTGGTCGGCAAAGCACCGTGTTCCCGAGGCAGAGCCCTTGCCAGGCACCAGCTCCCTCCTTGAGTCGCTTCCCGCATGTTGCAGCGAGGTGTTTACCATCGGGAATGTTATCAGAGGTGCTTATCGGCCGCAGCAGGTAAAGTAAACACGGGCCCAGCGCCGCGGGCAGGTTATCGCCTGATAGGCCACCGAGGTGACGCTTCACCGGAGATTGCCGAGGCACCAGAGCCAAAGCAATCCCAGGGGACCAGCGGCATGGTCGAGCCAGCAAACTGCCACAGGCCTGCGGAGAGGAAATGATTCCAGAGAAAGCGCTCAGCTCGCCGGGCAGGGGGTGATACCAGAGCAGGTGGGGCGCAGGCAGGGTGGCAGGATTAGCACGGAGCTGGAGCATATCCCAGTGCCCACGAGGATAATGCCATGGCACTGCGGCAGAGCCCGGGCAGAGAAGCCAACCCAAACTTCCTATACTCAGAGAGCAGCTCTTTTGCTGCCTGTATGACCCTAGACACACCTTGCTCCCACTCTAAGGGGATCATCTGAAGGATGATCCATGGAAATAACCACCCCAGGCTCAGGGGGAAGCCAGGATGGGGGTGCTGAACCCTGACACGCCCAAATGGGCTGAGAGTTAAAGCCACATGAGCCCCCACAGCCTGGGGCCCTGCCCAAAACACTGCCTCGATGTGATGGAGCCAGGCTGAATCCCAGCTGGAGGTGTGGGGATGCTCCCACAACATGCAGCACATACATGGGGGTGTAGGAGAACCAAACACAAGTCGCTGGTGCCATGTGGTTGGTAACTGGCAGGGAACAAGTTCCTGGATCCCCACAGCTGGCGCTGGCAAAGAGCTGCCAGTACAGCCCCAGAGTCCAAGCACTGCTGGAACATGCAGAGGTTGTTTTTAGCTCAGGTCAAGGGATGTGTCTGGAAAGGAACGGAGACCCTACTGACAAGAAGCACCAAAATACCATCCCTTGGCCTTGCACCAAAAGGCGTTTCCCCCGCCTGATTCCTCGGACACCCTCTGCCAGGTGATGCCACGCTGCCCTGAAGCCAAAACTCATATCATGGAGGCACCAAAGATTTCAACCCGCCCTTCTCGCGTGCTGGAAAAATGGGCTCTGCCTCAATCTGGAGCATCCCTCTCCAGAGCTCAGCCCGCTCCGGCTTCCCTCACGTCATCCCTTAAATCCCCAAGCTCTTGCACTGCTTAATCCGGGTGAGCCGATTTATCCCTAAGCGGGGCTGACACCAAGGGGCACCACACAAGGATCAGGGAGAGGCACCCCCTGCTTGAGGCAAAGGCATCAGAACCCCACCCAGCATTCCCAAACACAGATAAATCCCCTAAAATGACAAAAACCAGAGGCTGGAGAGAACTTGGAAGTGCTGCATGGTCCCCTCTCAGTTTTCTCTCCCCCTCCTGTCCACCACCAGGGACAATTCCTTGGTTACTGAGTCCTGGACACAGTACTGGCATTGGGATGCTCTAGGAAGGGTCTGGGGGCTGTGAGGAGCATCCTCAGCCCCAGAGGGAACATCACAGCAGCTGCTTTGTCTCCCCTCTCCAGATCTCGCTCCATCCTGGCTCCCAGATGCATCAGGGATCCAGGTCTGGGGTTCAGGAACATGGGATAAGGTTGGGCTCCAGGCACAGGTGACATGGAGGTTTCCCTTCCAAGAGCTACTTCCAGTGCTGGCACAGTGAGGAAAACACTTTCCAGCAGCTCACATTGTCACCCTCCTAAAGGAATTTGTTCAGCAAGAAGCTGCTTGTGCAGGAAAATCACCATCCCAAGTGTCCCAAACTACAAGTGGCATAAAAAAAGTCGGAGTGCAGAGCTCTTCAGAGAAGGTAAAGCCGGTGGTGCAGGACTTCACGGGAAAGGGAAAACACTCCAGCGACCTGTTGCCTCCCTGCCCAGTAGAGACACCCCCTCCCCACCCACACTGGCTCCCCGAAACCCGCAGGCGAGTCCCGGTGCTTCTCCCTCCCTCGGGATCGCTGTGTCCCTGCCCTTACGCAGCGCTGGGATCCAGCCTGGAAAAGGTCCGGCGCGAGCCCCTCCGTCGGCGGGCGATTTTCGCTGGATCCCTTCCCCGGGGCCGGGGAAGCGGGCGGGGAGGGCCGGGCCGAGCCGGGCGGGGATCCCGCCTCCCAAAAATCCCCAGGAGGCTCAGAGGCAGAGGGAGGCTCCGGCGGGCGGTCGGTCGCGGCCCGAGCGAGCCCGGGCGGGATCCGGAGAGCTGCCCTTGGTCCCGGCGTCCAAGGTCATTTCAGTCCCGCGTGTCGGAGCTGGAGCGGAGCCACCCCGAGATGCTGGGGGGGAACGGCCGGAGCCGAGCGGCGCTGGCAGGAGAGAGGGACAGAGAGAGCGGGAGGTCAGGCCCGGAGGGAGCTCCGCGGGTGCCCCCGCGCGTCCCGGGTGTTCCCGCCCCGGGGCCGGGGAGTCACGGCCGGGGCTGAGCCCAGACCCCGGTCCGGGTTCACCGCAGTGCCCGGGGCGCGGGGTCTCATCGGGAGCGGCTGCGAACGCCCCGCGGCACGGGAGGAACAGGGGGGAGCATGGAGGGAGTACGGAGGAACCCCGAGGGGAGGCGGCCCCGGTCCGGCGGGGTGTGCGAGGCACGGAGGGACCGTGGGGGCTCGGACACCGCCGGGGCCGCGCCCGGGGCACCCGCGGGGCCGGTCCCGCCCTCACCCGCGCTGGGCGATCCCTCACGCGGAGCCGGCGGGTCCCGGGCGGGAAGCGCCCAGCCCGGTCCGTCCCCTCAGGGGTGGGGGGGTGTCGGTGTTTCCTCGCTCCCTTCGGCACGGCGCCGCCGGCCAGGACAGGCCGAGGGGCAGCACCGGCTCGGCGGCGGCGGCAGGAGAGAAAGGGCCCCAGGGAAGGGGCCCCAGTCCCGAAGCCCGGTCCTGATCCCCCCTCACTCCCGGCCCCCCCGTCCCTCCCGGAGTCCCCCCCTCCCGCCCCCGCCGGTACCTGCGCGCGGCCCCGCGCGCCGCCGTCATGCCCCGCGCGCCCCGGCCTCCTCGCGCCGCCACGGCGCTCGCCCATTGGCCACAAGACGCTTCTCCCCACCTCTGCCGCCCGCCTATTGGTCGCCTGCCGCTCGGCCCCGCCCTTCCCACACGCCCATTGGCAGCCCTCCGCAAGGCACCGCCCCTCCCGCGCGCCACCGCTGAGCACCGCCCCCTCACAGGCCACGCCCAGCGGCGGGAAAGGGGCGGGGCCCGGGCGCTCGCAGGGGCCGCCTCCTAAAGGGACCGCTGCGCTCCAGCGGCGACCTCGGCTGGCACAGCCAGGCTCCGGGGCTGCCCCCGCTCTCTCTCCTCCGCGGCCAGGACGCCATAGGCCTCCCCAACCCTCTCAAGATTCCTCCACCATTACACCCCAACCCCTTCAAGACTCCTCCCTAGGATGCCCCCAGTTCCCCCAGACCACTCCCTTGGACTTCCCAACCCCGACAGATGTCCCCATGCCTTAGAACCCCTAGCCCCTGCAGACGCCCTAAACCCTAACTCACTCCTCCCCTTGACCCCCCATCCCCTCCCACCCTCTCAGACTCTTCCACCAGAGCCCCCAGACCCCTGCAGACAACCCCAAGGAGCAGACTAGCCTAGCAGGTGCTTCAGCTTCTCTTTATTGATGGACAGTTGTGCTCTCCCACCCCAAGGCCCATCGGAGTGCTGGGTGAGGGGGGGGGCTCTGGGGCGGTGGGGGGGACATGACTAACACAGGAGACAACGCTGTAGGGGAGCACGGGAAGCTCTTGCACGGAGCCAACACCCTCCTCCTGCCCCCCATGCCCAAAATAACGAGAGAGGGGGCTGGAGTCACCTGGGACTGGGCCTGGGGAGGTGTGAGGCCCCATGGGAGGGGGTGAGTAGCAGCTTGCCTCGAGCGAGGAGGGGTCTGGCGGAACCGCTGATCCCACGTCGCCTCTCTCCTTCCCCAACCCCCCAAAGCAGGGCCAGGAAAGGGACATTTTACACCCTGAGGACAGTCACCAGGAACCTCCTATGCCGACTCCAACACACATCAAGGCAGGACTTCACTACGGGGGAGAGGTTTTTTAAAAAACTAAACACTTCAAGTATATTTCTTTTAGTGATTTAAGGTCTCTTGCCCCTGCTGCTGCTGCACTGGGTGGTGTTTAGCAACCTACATCCACTCTAGGGACAAGGAGAACAGCGCAAGCGATGGCTGGTCTAATGCAAGGGGAGATGGGGAGGGAAGGTGGGAAGGGAGGTGGGCAGGGGAAGGGAAGGCTGAGTCTGGTGCTCAGGGAACGGGCACCACACGCATGGTGTTGGTGTAGCCGGAGCCAGGGCGCCAGCCCGTCAGCACGATGACCAGGTCGCCGCTCTTGAAGAACCCACGGGCTTTGCCTGGGAGAGAAGAGGGAAGGGTCAGAACCCAGGTCCCACCCAGCCCCCCTCACCTGCTTGTCACCAGCTCCCTGAGCCACCAAGGCTGCCTGCCCCATGGCAGTCATGGCTCCTAGAGGGTAAAAGACATCCCCCCCACTTCCTGCTGCCCACCCATCTGCTTTTGCAAGCAGAGAGCTTGGAATTCCACAACGTAGGATCTGGAAAAGCTGGAGAACAGTCACCCCGCTCCAGGTTTCCCTTGTCTCTGAGAGCAGTGAGTGTCACAGTTCCATCACTCACCACCTTAAAACCAACCCAATCTTCTACAGGAAGCCATTCTAAGGCAGCTGTGGCAAACCCACTGCCCTGTTTCCCAATCAGATGCGGTGCAGCTCATGCAACCACCACAGGTTTCCCAATGGGATCTGGTTACTACACAGGCAGCCAGTTCCTCTCCCTGTCACCAGTGCCCACGTTCACCCCCAAAGCCCCACACGGGGGCTCAGGGCCCCCCCTCACTCACCGACGTTCATTCCCAGGGTGACGCGCAGATCCACGTCCTCAGCCCAGGCGTCCTGGGCGGGGTCCTTGCAGAGCACGGGGAAGATGCCACGGTACAGGTGGGCCTGGCGAGCTGTCTGCTCGTTGCGGGTGATGGCAATGATGGGGGCGCGCGGGCGGTACCGCGACACCAGGTGTGCCGACCTGCGGGGAGAACACACCCGGTGGAGCCCCAAGTGCCATCAGAGGGGACTGAGAGGACACTGTGTATGGCCAGCAGGAGCACAAGCGACCCACCAGGGCTCCCCAGAACGCCTGCAGGGACATGAGGGATGGCCACCCTGGTGACCATCTCCACGAGGAGATGCCAGCTAAGAGCCACTCACCCACCAGCCTGACACAGCTGTATTCCCAGTTAGGCAACTGGGCAGACACCACCTTGCCTTTCAGTTCAGCAAGTGCCACTGGGGTGTTTTGGTCCCCAAACAAGCCTTTCCTTGTCTCTGTTGCTATGTTAAGCTGGCGAGGCGCCATTTATTCCAGCCTCTCCAAGCAGGCCTTGGCATCTCAACCGGGGTCCCTGCAAGTTCCCTCTGTTTTCAGGAGCACCCGGTTTCTGGGATGGAAAGAGCCGGTTCCAGCAGCGCTCCCCAAAGCGTGCCAAGGAGGAAGCCATCTGCCTCCCAGCCACCTGCTGAAGCAGCAAACAGGCCGGTTGCTCCACACACAGCTCTGCTCCTGCACCCAACGGGAAGCAAATGCAATGGAGCCCCAAATTTATACTGGGAAGTTGGGCACAGAGGCTTTAAAATGCCTTAAAATAGCAGCAGCACACTCTGGGTGAGACTACAGCTTCCCTTTCCCCGGGCACATCTACAAACAGACAGATTCAAACTGTAAGGCCACGCCATCTACAGTTCCATCTTTCCAAGGGCCATGCCAGCATCTCCACTTGCTTTTGCAGCCTTGTTTAGTGGAGCCAAGCTCAGCCACACAGTTTGCTGCTCAAAGCAGGCATCAGCAGATGCTCCAAACACCCAACCACACGTGCCAGCTCTCAGACAATCCTTCCCACACTGTCCAAGCCGCCTCCCAGGAGCTCCAGGAGATCCATGTACTCCAAGGGTTAATTGAATCCACAGCTAAAAATATTCAAAGATGAAAGTTTGAAACCTCTTTAAAAAGGTCAAGTGTAAGGCTATAACCCTGGCAAAGATACATTAGAAGCATGAGGATAACCAGAACTCGGCACTTGTTGTTCCCTCACCTCTTGCACAAAGTGGCTGCTCCAAATAATTTTAAGCCATAAATTTAGGTGAAGCATTTTTACTGATGGTCCATGTCTTCAGGTAGGTTGTGCCCAGCACACACAGCCATACCTTTGCTGCTGCTCTACTGCTTTGGTGCGAATCCAGGGCAAGAAATCCTGATTTTCCTCCAGAAAGCAGCCTGAGACTTATGGTCAGACATGCATTGGGAGGGGTCAGCCTGATTCCTCTAGATGGAAGAGCTGATCCATGAGGCTCCAGCTGCCTTCCCACAACTGGAATAATGGGCTGCTGCTGGGCAGCTGTCACCATTGCTGGACAGAAATCCTAAACTACATCACTCCAGCATATCTCTCACCTGCAGCCACTGAGCTCACCTGGGTGCCTGCAAGACAGTTGCCTGTGCAGAGATTATTCGCAGACAGGTACAAGGAAGCCTGGAAATTTCCAAAGCTTTCCCTTTCCCTAACAACCCTAGGCTACATAGTCCCTCTTCGCCTCTTGGGCTCAGGCAAGCAGGGCTGATGCCTGCAAAGTTCAGCAAGGGACCAATAATGTAGATCCTATGAAAGGCCAAGGCTTTGATTAAAAAAAAAAAAAAAAAAGAAAAAAAGAAAAAAAAAAAGATTCTGCATTCACTGAACTTCTGCCTCACTGTTACATCGATGGTTTCTTGCCAAGAAGTTTGAATTGGAGCTGCAACACTTGGCTCTTCCAGCCGGCGCCACTGGCAGAGTTGCCACTCACGGCAGCGAGGGGAAGCCGGGCTCGGAGCTGGTGCCACGCTGGCAGACACAGGCTGAGGAACTTGGAGCACACAGATTGAGTCCATCAACGAGAGACCAGCACTGCACGCAGGCCTGGGCTCCCAGTCACTGCCAGAACTAGGCTCCATCGCTCTCTCAAGATCATGTTTTTGGGATCCTCCTTCCCCCACCCTATCATGTAGTTGGCTTGATCTGGGGGAACCTGTCCCCTCCTACCTTCCAGACTTGGTGAGAACAATAATGGCCCCGCTGCAGCACTTGAAGGACGCTTCCACAGCGCCAACAGCAGCGGCCTCGGTGGGGTCGCAGTTGAGGGGGGTCAGGCGGCGCAGTTCCTCAAACAACTGCCTGTGAAAGATGGCGGCTTCGGCCTCCCGGGCAATCTATAAGAGCAACACGCATTCGGGATGACAACACTCACAGCACCACTCGGGCAGCACAGGGAGGGTGAGGTGCTCTGTCCCAAGGTGGCACAGCAACAACACTGTCACCACGCGGTGAGCCCAGACTGAGCTCAACACGCCAGGGTGACGCCTTAACGCTCAGCCACCCCAACAGTACAACCCTGGAGAGGAACCATTTGATTTCCCAGGCATTTTTTTTCTGAAATGGTGGCACCTCGCCCTGCTGTGCCCACACTCAGGTGACACTCATGCCAACTGCCAGACACTCTCGCTCTGCTCCTGCCTGCTGGGGTCCCTCCCTGGCACAAGTCAGCTCAGCCCACAGCGGTTATGCAAGGCCAGCACGGGCTGAATTCCTGTAGTGTTAGAACACAGTGTGGTTTTGCCATGGCAAGGGCTGGCTCCGAGCCCCTCTCCGAGCCCTACCTGCCGGACTCGGTCAGGACTAGCAGGGCTGCAGCTAAGCACTTAAAAGAGGCCTCCACCGCGCCCGCTGCCATGGCATCGGCAGGGTCCCTGTTGTTAACATTGAGCCGTAAAATCTCCTCGAAGAGCTGACGATGAAACATTGCGGCCTCGGCCTCCCGAGCGATCTGCAGCCCCCAGGGGAGGGAAGGAGGAGAACAGGAAAGAAGAGAAGGAAAGATATACCAGAGGAACATGAGATCACGTTAATTTGCTCAATGATCACAGTAATGCATGCAAGAGGGTATTAAGACCAAGCTGTGAAACTTTTTGGGTCTCAGGTTGAGATTTTGCTGGATGCAATGCAGACATTATAATGTCCAGCACGCCACGGGACTGGCAGACCCTGGTCACCAGGCAGGCATTCCAAAGGTGGCTTCTTACTGTATTTTGGAGTCCTGTCAGACAGGCAAACAAACTGCTTTTCAAGGAACAGAGCAGGCCAGCTCAGAGTCAGACCGTGCTTTGTTACAGCTGCTTATGACTCCCTTGAGAGACTCTTGTGCCACCTACCAGCCAGCCCACAGTCCTGCCTGCAATTCCTCAAGAGGGAATCTCTGCGGCTTCCTTTGATACTCTCCCAACACCAAAGAGTGCTGCTGTAACAGTCTTCATGGAGCTAACGTGCAAACAATGCACTTTCAACATGAGCCCTCAAGGTGGGACACTGGTCCTCTCAGCTTTGATAGATTTAGTTTAATTTGAGAGCAAATAAAGATTTAGTTTAAGCTGAGAATCAATAATGGTTTAGTTTAACTTGAGAGCCAATAAAGTTTCACCTCCAAGTGGGATATCAATTGCCCATTTGATAATAAGGAAATAAACAGGAACAAGTCTTCCTTATAGGGTTGTCGCAATGTGGATGTTGAGGTGTTAGTACAGTGCCAGATGTGACAGATGAGAAGGACATCAACTAAGGACTTTCTGTTCCTGCTGAGCATTGGCAACAGGTTCAGTACCTGCTCATCCCAGCATCCTGGGAATCACTCACGTTAAAGACAACTCCCATCTCAGGAGGCTGCATTAGCCCTGACAACCCGATAAAGAAGGCTTGCAGAGACTAGAAAAGCATGCAAAGGTTGATCATGTTCGGTGACAACTTCATCCAGTTATTTCAGAAAGGGAGCAGCCACTACAACAAAGCAAAAGTTCCTGTTTAATTAGAGATCAATGTGTCATTATAGTGAAAGCCTTGGAGTTATAAAGTCAAGAATTTTCCTACTCTTGTGTTAATGATTTATTTTATGTGATGCTGGGAATTATCCCTTCCACAGTTATCAGTTTAAGCCAAAGCAGTTAAGTATCTTATGTCTAAAAATAACAGGACACATGGGGCAGGCCAGAACAGCAGGCTGGTGCCAACTTGTCCTCAAGCGGTTTGTTACTGCTGGCTTTAGATAATATTGGAGTATTTGCCTCAAAACATTCACTCCAAATGCAGGAGCTAGGGAGCCACATAGTTTGTCTTGAGCCCTGGTACAAAGGCAGCAGCTCTGTGTAGCACACAGGGCAAACCCAAGTTTAGCAGGAAGCCTGCATTCCCCAGGTGTCATGGAACACAGGAATACACGTGTCTGCTTTGGCATGGCTGCAGAGGGACAACAACCCTTAACTCCACCCCAAAGCTGGATCTGCTCAGGCAGGAATGGCTATAGAGGGTTGGTGCATGGGTGGAAATACCAGGGAAGGTGGGAGAAAGGTAAATGGGGTGGCTGTTTAAACCTTAGTCCCTCAAACAGCATGGCCAGGGTGGTGTTTGAAGACCAGTGTGGATCATGGGCTTGAATGGGAAGGAAGCCCACTCCCATTAGCAGGAATCAGCCTGCCCAGTATTTGTGAGCTTACCACTTAGGTGGAAGCACCCATCCGCTCTGGCCATGCTGCAGGTCTCCAGACCGTGGTTACTCAGGGCACTATTGCTGGGCTCGACTAATACCAAGGCAAACAGCTCAGAGGAAAGATCCTGGCTGTTCTGGGACATGCTCCTACCATCAGAGCTGGCACCTTGCTGCCTGCAACATCTTACATTCAACAAAGGCAATCTGCATTTCAGTTCCTGCACTGAGGGTTAGTTAAAGCCCTCAGTGTTTCCCCCCGTGGGCCTGGCGGAACAACCAGCACTATCCCCAGGTCTGCAGGAGGAAGGAATCAGGTGCAACAGGTCCTGAACTCAGCCTACAAATACAATGAAACCTGCCCAGTTTGAGGATTTAATGCCAGGATGGAAAACCAGGTCTAAGGTTTGCTGCAGCAAGTTCCCAGCTCTTGGTAGGAACTCAACCCTCATGATTTAGGGGGTGGAAAATGAGGGAGAAGCTTTTAGATGCACCGTTAGCATTCAGCCTGGAAAGGAGCAGTCACTGCCCAGTCATCATCAAGTCATATTTTGCATTTGCCTTGTGCAAAAAACACCACTCCATATTGAGATAAAGATATTTAGGTAACACACTGCAAACCAACACTGAATGAGTTGATTAATCTGTAAAACCTGAACTGCAAATAAAACTGGTGAGAGTTAGAACTGGTGAGAGTTAATCACTGCTGTGATTCACAGCACTGCTAACTGGGGAGTAGCAACACTTGTAGGTACTTGACATCAGGCTTTTATCAGCTGAAACTTGAAGCAGAGCAGAGGTTTCTGGCAGTTCAGGCATGTAAAAATATGGTGCTGTCAGTACTCATGCAATAAACCCCCCCAACACCGAGCACACACCAGGTGCTGAATGCAGCAGTGCTGTAAACCAGCCTCAGGGGCCTTCCCCACCCCCTCCCACACTGCAGTCAGCCAAAATCTTTCATTATCTACAGATAAACTGCTTAAGCAGCTCCTTGACCTTGCAGAAGTTTAAGGTATTTAATATACCACTGCAATAGGACAATGGACGAAACTTCCATCAACATAATGGCAAAAACCCCTTTACCCTGCCCAAAGCAAAAAGAAAAAGGAAGTTTCATTTCTCAGAGCAGCTCTGCCTGACAGCAGTTTGGAGCACACAAACCGAGGTGTCAGGCCCTCACCCCGTATTTGGTCAATAAAAACCCACCCACAGCAGAGTGTGAGCAAAGAAATGCCAGTTTTGCATGGCAGGGCAGCACTCACCGCGTGCTGCATGCGCACAGCCTCCAGAGGGTAGTCACCCTTGGCTGTCTCCCCGGACAGCATGATGCAGTCGGCGCCGTCCAGCACCGCGTTGGCCACGTCGCTGCCCTCGGCGCGCGTCGGCCGCGGCTTCTTGATCATGCTCTCCAACATCTGCAAGAGAGCAATCCAGAGGGGTTGAGATGCTGCCAAAGGAGGCAGCTGCTTTTTTGTTAGTGCTCTTGACAGGTTGGGTAGAAAGTGGGATGCAGCCTAAGAACGCTGGGAGAAGAGTTCTCCGTGAGCTCCATGCAGGAGAATTCCCTGTGGGTGTGGAACAGAGAAGCACCTGGTCCCTAAGCCAGCTTCAAATTTAAGCATCTATTAGCAAGGAAAACAACTCATTTCATTCTATACCCACTATACATTTATTCCTTTTCCAAGGAAATTTAACCCACGCAACATCCCAGACACAACACTCCAACTTTTTAATTAAAAATTTTCCAGCATAAGGCTCAGTCCGAGGAACCCAGAGCACTAAATTTAGGGCAGAGGGTGGCATCACACTTAATTTTTTGAAAGCTCAGATTCAGTCATACATTCCCAAATCTGGGGTTTTTGCATCTAGAAATCCGAAAGAGCAAGGTCTGACCCAATAAAGTCACCTTCACTCAGCACAGCATTTCCAATGTGGTAGATAATATGTACAGGGTATTAAGTCAAAACAGCCAACTCCACGAGCTTCCTAAGCATCCACTCCCAGGAGAGCGGAAAACAAGACAGCTTTCCACGAGGTTAGCTCTTCTTAACCCTTCTCCACATACCAAAGCCTGTCCAGCTCTCCTGGCTTCCTCAGCTTTCCCCAGCTGGATCTCACCAACTGGGCAAATGCCACTCATATCCTGTGGGGTACTGCCTGAGGCAGCACTCCAGCTACATTTCAGTAGCAATACAGGCAAAAGAAGGAGCATATGCCACTGTAAAGCCAGAGCTTCGTCTGATGACTACTGTCTAGAGACAGTGTTTGCTTCCACAGCCTGTGTGCACAGCCAGCACAGCAGGAAACCAGCTCTCCCAGTGCCCAAGGACTGTTTGCATGTGATCCCTACTGCTCCCAGAATAAGGAGATGGATCCTTCACTTAGTTCCTTCTGAGGCTGCAGTGTGGGTGCATCATCTAAGACACCTGGAAGCCTGGGTACAGATGTGCTTCCACAAGATGCCAAGGCAAACTGCGCCGTTTTCCCCAGAATCTGTTTAGTCAGCCTAAGAGGCTCATTATCTCATGATCTTTTGAGGTGTAAAACCTTCAGCAGGCACCCAAGAAGTCCCGTAACCTTACTGGCGAGGATTCCAAACACAGAAGTGCATGAACTCAAACCCATGAACTCCTTCCGCTATGAGCAGAACCTCTTTGCACTTGGTATCTCACTGTCTAACCAATGCCACCAAGCCATGGCAGCTCCCAACATTCCCCCGGGTCAGATTCCAGCTGTGAGGAGCCAACGGTGTATTTCCAGTACCTGAGTGGCACAGATGATGGGTTTGCCAGCCCTGTTGCAGCGCCCAATCATCATCTTCTGGGCGAGGAAGACTTTTTCAGCTGGGATCTCGATTCCCAGGTCACCACGGGCCACCATAATGCCATCGCTGGCCTCCATGATCTCATCAAACCTGACAGTGAGACAAGAGCTGTGTTATCCCATTTGTTCTACAAAGCACCTTCCCATCTGCTCTGTTCTCCTCTTCTGGAAGGGAGCATCGATCTGGAGTGCAATACACTGTCAGCACACTGACTTTTCACGGACTGTTAGTGTTCCTGCAATGCCAAGGAAGGAGGAAGAAAGCCAAGACCAAGGCACAGCACATGTTCGGTGCTACACAAAGCTGTCTAAACCTATAGAAAGGGAGTGTGAGTTGATTTAAATCAGTCTGACAAACCTGAAGCACCCCCTGCCCAAAGCTCACCTGCGCACACCCTCGTGGTTCTCGATCTTGCTGATGATCTTGATGTTCTTTCCCTTCTCCCCCAGCACCTTCCTGACAGCGTGGACATCGGAGGCTTTGCGGATGAAGGAGGCAAACACCATGTCCACGTTCTGCTCCACACCGAATTTGAGGTCCTGAATGTCCTTCTCAGAGACCGCGGGCAGGTCGACGGCAGCACCGGGCAGGTTCACACCCTTCTTGCTGCCGAGCATCCCACCGTTCTCGACCTCAGTCATGACATAGTCCTTGCCTGAAACACGTGTTCCCACAGTCAGTGTTTGCCAGGAAGCTCCCACTACCGGCTCCCACCTCCCGTGCCTGGGAACAGCAGTTCCAACAGCAACACACAAGATAAAAAGCACATCATGTCCCTTCAGAGTATTTGTGTACCACACAAGCTCCCAGCCGGCCCTTGGGAACACAACGCATTGGTTTAAAACAACTTCTAGGTGTTCTTGGAGAAAATGCAAATTTTTCTGTGCAGGAGGTTGTCTTCCCCCAAAAAGGCTCCCAGGTTGCACTTCTGCACTCAGGAGCCCTGTTACACCAAACTGAGCAGCCCAAAAGTCTCCCCTCAGTGTCCATACACGCTCAGGGATCAGAGGCTCCAGCACTTTAGGCAGCACTATAAAGGGAATATCAACTACCCTTGCCTCTAAATTCCCACGTAAAGCAGGTTCTGTCTCTAACCACAAAACTCAGGGCTTGTGCTGCAAAACTAGTTAAATCCTGCATTAAGAACATGAACTAGTTTGGCTGAACAGGTTTTGATCATGAGCTGTGGTATGGCCCTATGGCATGTCCCCCTTTGAAGAGGGGATTTAGAAGGCAGCCCAGGAAAACCCAGCTAAAGTTAGTTTTTGTAAAATTCCTACACTTAAAGTAGAGAAAGTCTGGTTTAAAGTCTCACTACAGCATCAAGAACTATGTCCTCCTTTCTGTAATACACAACTGCAAGGTGAAAAGCAGTTACTGGAGGGAAACCACAAACACATTCCAAGGAAAAACCAAGCAGGCATATCTGGAATGGCTGTTACTCACCTTTTTCCTTAACCAGCAAGGAAATCAGACCATCATCCACGTAGATTTTGCTGCCAATGTCTACAACCTTGGTGAGATTCTTGTAGTCAACCCACAGTGTGTTCTCGTCGCAGTTCTCCATGAAGGCATTGTCCAGAGTCACTTTGAGCTGTGCGCCCTTCTTCAGCTCCACCTCTGCTGTGCCACTCTGGGTGTCAAAATGTGTGTCAGCAAAACCAGGAAAAACCAGCACACAACCACCTCCCAGCCTGCAGCAATTTATCCAAACTTTGGCTAGGTGTTGTTTTACCTCATTTTCTAGGATATTTTTTGTTTGGAAAAGGCCACAAGCTTAGTATGATAACTAGCCTCAAGAGGTGAAAAAAGTGGGATAAAAACCCAGCAACTTACTCCCTTAATGAGTCCAGTTCGGATTTCAGGTCCCTTGGTGTCCAGTGCAATAGCCACAGGTCTGTAGGTGATGGGATCAGAGGCAAAACTCTCTGTGGCTTCTCGCACGTTCTTGATTGTGCCCTCATGATACTGGAAAAGAAAGAGATGGGAATATTCAGTCCATTTCTACTCCACTGCTTACGCAAAAGACCCTGAGACACTGCCCAAGCTGAGAGCTTTGCTTTCACATGATGCTCAGTTTCAGTTCTACCTTCAAAATTTAATCCAGACTAATCTTCCAGAAAACCAGAGTGTAAAGGATAAGGCCTTCCTGTCATGAAGGTGGAGTCTGGAAATTATCTGGCTGTGCCCTCAGTTCTAATTCCAGCAGGACAACTCAAGAAGAAGCCCAGGGGCCCAGCTGAAATGATTTTCTATCACTAGACATGCTCACGAGTAGAAAGTGGTTAACGACACAGGCCTTTAGGAGCAGCATTGCCAAAAGTTTTGCTGAACACCTGCCCACTCAACACAGCAGAACATCAGCAGATGGATAGCTAAGCCATTATCACACATGGCTGTGCTCCTCCTCCCCTTCAGAGCACAGAAGGGAAGATGCCATTCCCCATTCCCTTCATTACCAACTCCCACACACACTTCCAGCCTGACCCACAATCAGTCCCACAGGTAGACAAGCCTTTCAATACCTCCCCAAGTGATAAAGGCTTTGCAAAGAGGATGTCATCCATGTAAATATTTACATTTCAGCAGCCAAAGCAATCACAGCAGGAGTTCAATGCTGCAGCACCACACAACTGGCTTCCAAACCTCCACATGTAAGAGAGCATTTTGCTAATGCTGCCAGTTTCGAGACAGTTTTGTGGGAAAAATCCCATCCTAATCCCTCAAATGCGCTTTGAATGGCCAGCAGATCAGTTTACTTTACTTGTTCAAACAACATTAAGAGATAACCTGAACTACCTACAACTAGGAAGAGTTGTGTAACACTTGACAGACTTTTGTTGATAAGAAATACCCTTTCCCCTCTCTGTGCCCACAGTGACAGAGTTCAGTGTGACTCACCTGGAACACCTGGCTCCCTTTGACCTGGCTCACCTGGAACACTTGGCTGCCTCGTGCCACTCACCCCCTCAACACGAGCCCTGCACACCAACCTGAGTATCTCAGGGGCAATAATCCAGTGCCAGGAAGGTAAGGCTGGGAAAAGCCATACTAAAGTTCACGTGTTAAAAGTGTGTGTGCCCTTGGCCAGAGATACCCAACAGCTGATAACTCCTTAGGAGAGGAAAATGATTCAGTTTATTGACTGAGTGCGTAAGCTGGGACTGAGATGGTCCCAACCCTTCCAGGCACTGCAGCCTGGGATACAGCAAAGAAAACATGCCTGAATGCTCTCATTAAACTTATCTGATCCCAGTCATCTGGGATTTTTCCATTTTAGTTTGATATCAAAGACTGACTGAGTCCAACTTCCTGAAGAGCTACATATGCAGAACGGGAATGCAGGCAGAGCTGGGAGTAAAAGCCATTTTTATTCTATGTAAAAGGATGGCAGGCAGGTGCCAAAACACCTCTGCCAAAGTTGAATCCCCAGTAAATACTTTGGGGTGGACACTAGAACTGAACACTTGTGACAGACCAAAACTCTGTGGGGCTTCACTGGAAACTGCAGTGTTTGAGGAACCAGGAGAGGACACAAACTTAGGACTGGCTACGGCTGATGGTCCCACTCCACAAGAGATGACAGCTGGACCAGAGTCTGCAGTAACCCAATCTCATCTGTGTGAAATGTGCAATTCGACCTCACCCAAAGCCACACTCCCTGTCCTTAACCTCAGCCAACAAGTTCACAGACTGCAGCAGCCACTCTGCTGGGCAGTAACGGTGGGAAAATTCCCAGTTTCAGCCTGGTCACCAACTCCCTGATCTGTCACTCAGCTCAAGAGCCACCCGGCTGCAGGATCTGACTACCAAGAGGTAGAGTTGCTCCTCATTTTCTTCAGGATTTCCCAACTGTAGGCCCTGCACTGACGCTATCCCACAGTCTTTAGTCAAGGTCTGACAGTTGCCCCCAGTTAAGTCAATTCTGACAGTGCCCTGTGCCCTTTAAAGGCCAGTGAGGGTGAGAGGACAAGCTGTTACACACCACGAGGCTCACGGGTCAGTAAGTAAAGCCACCTACAGCTGCTACTGGCTACTGGGTGACATTTTGAAAGCTGGAAAGGAGCCAGAGTTAAAAAAAAAACCTCAGCAGAAAAGCAACCTGGAATGGGATCCTCAACTCTTCCAGTATCACTGAGGATCTCAGCTATTTATAGCAGTAAGGGTTTGTCTATCATGGAGTGTTGATTTCTTTTGACCTTACTGTTCTAAGACCACCAGGCCACGTCCCACGACCCTCCCGAGGACCAGGAACACAAATGGAGCAGCTGGTGAGCCAGAAAACTCGGGAGTCCACTCTTCCCACTGGGCCCAGTAATTACACCAAATCACTAACCGATCCCTTTGGAGACTGAGTTATTCATTGATGACCTGCTTGCGAAACCCCCAGCAATGAAAGAAGAAGTGAGATGAACTGATAGCGTGACCTCCTGCTGAGGTGCAGAACAGCAGCAGCAACACAGAGGCAGGTGTTTTCGGCTTCTGCTGCTTTGTGCAGTGAACAGCAGCATGTGAGGAAGAACTGAAGTATTTCATGGCACACAGTGCCAAATCCCAGTTACTTGGCTCCCTGGTGCGGTGAAGGGTGTGGAACCAACCTGAATTGCTTTCAAAATGGCTCAGAAAACACACTCAAATGTTATCAGCAATTACGCAGGCTCGGTTTGTACAGTGTGCTTTCCCCAAAAGCAGAGCTATTTCGCCTTCCCACACCAAGGCTGGTCTGGATGAAGCTGGATTTCCCTCTTCCATAAGGGACAGAGGCAGCAGACACAAAGGGTATATGAGGCTGTATGAGCTCAGGCCCCACCCTTACCTCATGGGTGCCGTGAGAGAAGTTGAGGCGGGCAACATTCATTCCAGATTTAATCATTTCCTTCAGCTTCTCCACAGAGCGGGAGGCTGGGCCTAGGAGGAAGAAACAGTTTGAACATTAACTTTGTAAAAATAATGAGGTAACCTACACACACCAAGCTGTTTCATGTGGAAGAGAAAAGGTAACTGGATACAGGCTTGCTCAGCGCTGCAGCAGCAAAGGTTGTTTTAACTTGCCCACAGAACCCAAGCAATTCCCACTTCCCTGGGTACTGGAATCACTCCCAGCAGTACCATGGGTTAGGCAAACATGGGAAAGTCGTGTTCCTTCACCACACAAGCTCAGCCCTGGCAAGGGATGAAAGCTGGATCCCTCTCACAATTTCCCTAACAGGTTTCACCCAGGTGTGGGTTCTTGCTGCGATTCTCCCCTATCCAGGAATCACCTACCAATGGTACAGATGATGCCGGTGTTCCTGGCGATGGTGGGCTCTGAGTCAATGTCCAGGCGGCACATGTGCTCCAGGAAGGTGTCAGCCATGGCAGCGTGGAGCTGCTGGGTCTGGATGAAAGCAGTCCCTGCATCGTGGTGCTTCGACATGGTCGCTCGATTCCTGTGTCTGAAAGAAAAGAAAGCGGTGCCAGGTTTGGGAATCACCCTGACCTGCCCAGCAAGCAGAGACACCAACACACCCACGTGATGAATATGGAGGTAACGAGAAAGCTGCTACTGGGTCAGACTATCTTTATGTTCCAACTCAAGAGTCTTAACAGGCAAGACACATTTCTATTTCCACGTCATTCCCCACATGGACCACCCAAAGCTCACCTGCCTTCTATGCAGATGTTCCCTTCATAGCTTCTCTTCATTGCCAGTCTTCCCTTGGAGCTACACAACGCAACAAAATTCAAGCACTTGAGTGCGCAGGCAGAGGCTCTGCCTCCTCCCTCCCAGCTCTCCAGTCATTCCTCTACAAGCCTCGACTGCGCTTCCCATCCCAGCCGGGACCGGGGCAGCTCGGTGCTGGCGTGACTGCGGCATGCCCGGACACGGGCAATCCTCTGCCCAGAGCACCTAATCGTGGCAAAGCCCGCCTAAGCCTAAACCCCAGCCTCTAAGCCTGGACAAGCAAGCAGACTTGAGTTGATTAAACACAACACCTTGGCAGAGAACACGTAAAACACTGAAGATTTCTTTAATGTATTTAAGGTCCCTCTTTGACTGAAGATGCTGTGGGGGTTTCCCCTGCCCCCTGCACTCCTCCTCACCCAGGGCAGCTGAAAACCAACATAAAGTTTAAAACTGGTTATTTTTCCAGAATTTGGTTTAAAAAAACCTCTCTGAACTCAGGTTGCTTGGATCCTCTGGACTAGAGCATCTCTACAACAGCAGGAACAGCTCATAATCCCTAGAGGAAGCTGAGCTAAAGCTTAACTGTCCACTGGGATGGGAGGACACTCATTTCCCAGCAGTGTTGGTGCCCCCAGGCATTTTTAATTGCAGTAATTTTGTTCTCAGGTAGAAGTGGCAACTAAAAGCTCTTTGTTTCTTGGAACTGCCCAGGCAAGAATCCAAAAGCCTTGGTAAGGGAGGGATGCAAGGTGGTGGCTACTGGCATGGACAGATCACTCATTTTGGCTTCAAAAATTGGTCTGACTTCAAACTCCATGCCCTGGGCATGCAGGGATATTCAGAGCAGGCATGAGCTGCCTTCACGTCTAAGATGTGCTTGTAGAAATGTGGGTTATGGCTCAGCTAAAAAGGCTGGCAGAGAGCAGGGACCGAGCAGGATTTTTGTTCTGCCCACCCCAGGCAGACAAAGCCCCCCAGTAACCCATGGAGCAATGTGAGGGGCACACACCAGCTCAGCAGGCTCAGCTCTGGCAGAGGCACTAGTGAGCCCAAAAGCTCTGTCAGAGCTGAGCAGAAGGACAGCCGTGCCCTCCCAGCCTGCCCTGAGCCGGCTGGTGCCGCAGCGGCTCCTCCCCTGCTCCGCAGCCCTTCCTCACGTACGTGCAGCTCCTCGCGCAGCCAGCCCTGACTCACCATCACCGCTGCCATGCGGCACAGGGCGCCTAGGCCACACAAAACCATAATTTGACCTGGCAAAGCCTCTTTTCCCTCAGCCCTGCCAGAAGATGCTGATTCACTGGAGTCACTACACGAAGGTCTGCCCACATGAAAAGCCCAACGAAGTCTCATTATTATAGGAAAACCCTCTGGTCAGCCCTGAAACACTGTTGTTTCAGCACTCTAACACTTGCTGCTGCATCCTGCGACACCTGCAGAGCAGTGCCAGCTTCTCTAGATGCCAAAACCAACAAGCCTTTGCTGGGAAATCACCTCCACGCACAGGCGAGCAGGTCTGCACTGCTGCTGGGAACACAAGGAATAGGGAACAACCTGACACAGAAATTGCACCCACAGCATGACTTGGAAGTTCATAACAAGAGCCAAGTGAATTCTCCCTGCCTCGTGGAAATCCCCCACCCACTCAAATCACTTGCAAATACAACTTTAAACCCCCTAAAGTCTTTATAAAGAGAAAGGAAAAGTTCACTTCCCAGTCAGAATCTCCTTCACAACTTTCCAGTAGTTCAGTGAGCTCAGAAAAAGTAACTGGAGACATGACCTTATCCAGGGGCGAGAGCAGAAATGCAGGAGCCAAAACGTGTCCAAAACACCCATCTGCCCCAGTGCTGGGCCACCACCACTAAAATTCACTTCTTAGTGCTCCCTCCGGCCTCCCATCACCACACATTTACAAGGCAGCGATTGAATTCTACTGGAATGACCAGTCTTATATTTATAACAGGAATGTCTGGCATTTCCCACCACTCTGCTTTTTTTAAAATCAAACAGAGGAGCAAGGACTTCAAGGACACCTGAAAACACAGAGCTCTCAGTCTGGGCTGAGCAAGGAAGGGGGGTAAGCAATACCCTACAAAGCCTGAATGCTTGCAACACTGAATAAACCTGAATTCCTTCCCCGAGGAATAATGATTAAATCTCCAAGTTTATTACATGGGCTGCCTGTGCTACAGACAGGACGTCCCAATGATGTCTGGTATCTCCCCAGCTCCTGAATATTCCAGAATGAGCCGCTTGAGGTCAGGACTGGTTTTGCAGTAGCCAGGTGACTAATTCCAGCCAGCTCATCCCACTGGTCAGCCAAGAAAGCCTAAAATCACAGCACTTCCAGATGTGCCCTTGGGGATGGAGAAAGGAGAGGGAGTAGCAACCCCCACCCTGGCAATCCCCACCCAGGGCCAAGTCTTTGCTGTTATCGGTGACAGAGGGAAGTGGAAACTCCAGCAGGGACTGTCCCCAGGCCACACCGGTAGAGCTGTGTCACTGCCTGGAGGAATTGCAGTGGGAAGAGGGGGGGGGGGGTGACAATTCTGGATTTACAGCTCACCCTCACTTACACAACGTCTCTGATACTGCAGAACGATGCTGCTCATGCCCAGCGTCCACCAGCCAGAGGCAGAAATGGTTTGAGTTAGTGCTTAGGCCAGGGTTATGAAACCAGGCAGGCCTTCAGATTCCCAAAAAAAGACTACGAAAACATCAGCCTTGCTCATTCCAGAGGCAAAAGGCATTTAACAACAGAGAAATGCAGCTGCCTGGCATCCCCTCTTCCAGGGAGGAAGGGCAGCATGAGGCGGCATCGCGCCGTTACGTAAGTACAAAATGGCAACCCCAAAATACCCCCTCTTTTCCGTAAGCCTGGATGGGACCCAGGAGCCACCACCTGCTCCTGGCTGGCTAAAGCTTTCCCGGGCAGCGAGCTGGGGATCCAGGGGAGGAGAGCCCCTCAAAAGGGACGACTCCCCGGCTTTTTGGCAATGGAAAAGGGAAGTCGGGCCCAGGGAGACAGCAGCACTTTCCCTGTGTGCTGCTGGCTCAGCAGAGCTGCCCTCCCTGCAAGACAAACGCACAGAGGAGGCTTAACTAAAAGAGAGGAGGCGACAAGCATCGGATGTTGGTGACGAGAAAGACTTATCTCGAGGGTATTTGTAGGACACACCTACAGGCTTAACCTTGCAGAGGACAAGGAGCCTTTCAGCCCGGCAAAAAGCACCTGGCTGCCTTCAGGCAAGCTGTAAAAACCTGCTTTACATGATAAAAGGAAGCTTTGGATCTTTTTTTTTTTAACATTTAAACAGGTGGAAGTGTAGCTCCCTGTGCTGCATCCCCACTCCAGGATGGAGGTCGCTGCACGTGGCAGCGCCCCGGTACTGCATCCCCATTCCCTACGTGCCATCCAACACCACCACGCTGCGGCTCCATCTTCCCCTGGGAAAACAACGGGAGATAAAGGACCAGCACGTGCTCCGGCTGGCCTGGGAAACGTCTTGTTCCCACCAAATTCAATTATCAGCTTGGCGGGTGCAAAGGGAATTAAGGCCGGTGGCGAATCACGTGGGCTAACAGCAAGAAACGAAGGTTTTAATAATATTTACAGCTTCTACTGGATAAAGGAGCAGGTAATCAAAAGCAACGCAGGCTGCTGCAGACTCCCCAGTGTGTTTATCTACCGAAAGCGAAGTTTCTCAGAAGGGTTTCACAGGCAGAAGTCCCCGGTTCAAGCACGTGGCTCCCAGCGGCGCTTCCTGCCTCGGCACAAAAACCTCCTGCTTAATCCAGTGATGGGCTGGAAACCCGCCGGCATCAGCCCGGCTCATTAGGCCATCAAACTCCTCTAAATTAGCCTAAATTCTGCTTTATGAACGGGATATCGGGCATGAAATTATGCGCTTTGGAGTGATTTTTTTTTTTTAATTAAGCACTCCTGGTTGCACAACAAGTCCCAGGAGGCGTCTGAGTAACCAAAAAACCTCTTTGTCATCCTACCTTTGAGCCAAGGCAAGACATGATGAGAAGCAGCAAGAAAGTTACCACATTAGCATCACAAAAACCTCTGTAAAACACTGATTTTTTGTTAACCTGGGCCTCGGCGATACTAAGTTCCCTTATCAGGACAAAGCAGGTTTTTAGAGATTGCATTCTACTTTCATTAGTCTGAGGAGACAGTCGGGAGGTTGCCATTGTCCGCCGACAAAAGCCCTATTCATGCCCTGGTAGCACTGCACAGAGGGTTTAAACACGTTTCAGAGGTTTTCACAGTTCAAGAGACTGTCCAAATCAACTGAACGCGTTTAAGCAGGCACAATTACGGCGGAAGATTAATTCTCTTCGCGGGGGGGTGGGATGGGAAGAGGCTGCAGCATCACTGGCGGGTGCAGCGAACCGGTCGCTGATTTAAAGCCAAAGCCGCTCGAGGGAACCGCCGGCTCTTACGTGAGTGCGGGCACGGGGGGGCCGGGCGGGCTCCGGCTGCCTCTGACTCAGCCTCCGGCGGCTCCTCGAGCACAGCCCGGCCGCCGGGACCTGGCCGGGAGCTGCCACCCGGCCCCGCGCTCCGTGTAACCGCACGGCCGCGGGGCCGCCCCCCGTGCGCGGCCCCGAGCCCGCAGACCGAACCTCCCGTGCCTCCCTGTGCCCGGAGCGGGCGCTGCCCGGTGTGAGGTCGCGGAAGGGTGCTCGAAGCGGGGTTTCCCAAATGCGGGAGGTTTCGGTGCGGGATCGTGGGGGGATGCTCGGAGCGGGCGTTCCCCGGTGCGGGATCGTGGGGGGATGCTCGGAGCGGGCGTTTCCCGGTGCGGGATCGTGGGGGGATGCTCGGAGCGGGCGTTTCCCGGTGCGGGATCGTGGGGGGATGCTCGGGAGGGTCGCGCGGCCAGGGTTGCCGCCGGCCACGTGCTCGGCACCGCGCGCCCCCCGCGCGCCCCTGCGGCCCCCAACCGTCCCGTGGGGCGCGCGCCCCCTCCCCTCAGCCGCCGCCGGAGGGAGCCCCTCTGCTGGCGGCGGTTAACGGGGATAACGGCGGTACCACCGCGGTCGGCCCCGCTGCCCCTCAGGCCGCCGTTACCTGCCGCCGCTCAGCCGCGCCCCGCACTGGTCCTGCCTCTCCGAGCGCCGCCGCCGCTCTGCGCGCCGCCCCCGCGCCCCGCCAAGGTGATCCGAGCCGGCCGCAGCACCGCCCCCCGCGGATCCCTCCGCCGCCCGCCCCGCCGGGGGACACAAGGGTGGGGCGCCGGGACTTCTTTCACCGGCGGACGCACAAGGCGCGGGGGGAGGCGCTGAGTAACGGCACGCGCCCGACCGGCCAATGAGGAGGCGGCACAGCCTCCGCGCGCGCGGACGGAGAGTGACCGTGCCTTAAAGGGGCCGCTGCTCTTAAAGGGGCAGCACCCCCAACTCACACCGACCCCAACTCACACCGACCCCCCAACTCAACCACCCCCCCAGTTCACATCATCCCCACAATTTACATCCCTTCCAACTCACACCGCCCCCTCAAGTCGCACCATCCCCTTAACTCACATCCCCCAATTCACACCACTCCCCAACTCACAGCGCCCCCCAATGCCCACACCCCCAACTCACACATTCCCCAAGTCACACTGCGCCCCCCACTTACACCGTGCCCCCAACTCAGGCTGTTCGACTGCAACTCACACCATCCCCTCCATTCACATTGTCCCCCAAACTCACACCATCCTTCCCAGCTCACAGCACCCCTTAACTAAAGTCCCCAACTCACATCGTTTCCCCAACTCACACCATCCCCTCAGCTCACACCGTCGCTACATTCACACGGCCCCCCCACTCACACCCTCTCCAAGTCACACCCCCCCAGCCGCTTGTGGGTCCTCAGGGGTCCCTCTCTTTCTGCGGCTGGGCATTTTGGGGTGCTGTTGGAGGGTCCTGAGACCCTCCAATGGGTGCACTGGGAACGCAGTGTGGATGCTCTGTAGTGGGGCCATGCAGACACCATGCTGGGGACACGGGGGACACCATGCCAACTTGGTTGGGACCCTACAGGATGCCCTGTGCCAGATCCATGAGGGCCGTGGGCTGGGTATACTGGGAACCCCATGATGGAGATGGGACATTATCCAAGGACTGTGGGGACCTTGTATTAATGAGCCATCACAGCTGCTCCACTGGGATCATGGTGACACTGGGGACACACTACTGACACAAGGACCTGCAACACGGACTCTGGGCTGGGCTGTGGGGGCACTGTGACAGCTGTAGGGGACCTAAAATGGCCACTTTGTACTGGGACCCTGAGAGGATCCTGTACTGGGAATGCGGGGGACCGTGTACGGGGGACACTGGGAGCTCTGTCCTGGAGTGTGGGGACACCATGACAGACATCTGGAGACCTAAAATTGTCACCCTATTCTGGTACCATGTAGGGATCCTGTACTGGGGATGCTGGGGACCCGGTCGTGGGGACACTGGGCACCCTGTGCTGGGCTGTGGACACACTGTGACAGCCATGGAGTGGACTCAAAATGGTCACGCCGTGCTGGTCTCACGAGGACCCCCTACCGGGGATACTGGGGACGGTGCACTGGGGACCCTGGAGACCCCGTGCTGGCCCGCGGGGACACTGTGGGGGACCCCAACATGGCCACCCCACGGGGGACCTTGTGCTGGGGACCGCGGTGATGCCGAACTGGGACCAGGGGGGCCTGTCCTGGACACACTGGGGTCGCTGGACCCTCCGCCCGGAGTGTCCCGCTGTGGCCGCTCCCTGGGCCCCGCCGGGGGGACCGGGGGTCCCGGCGGTGACGTCACGGGCGCGTTGCCCGGTGACGCGGGGTGACGTCAGGCCGGCCGCCCCCCGGCAGCAATGGCGGCGGCGCCCGCGCCGGCCGGGCCGCGCTGACATGGTGAGGGCCGGGGGGATGCGGGACACGGGGCACGGGGCACGGTCACAGCCCGGCGCGGCCCGCGGGGCGAGCGCGCCCGGCGCG